GTGGACGGGAAAAATAAGAGAATTCTTTCTTTTGCGGGAATAAAAATCTCCACGGATCCAGACAGCCCATTTGTGCCATGAAAGTAGAAAGAGCTTGGGACATTTTAGACTGGAGCGTGGTTTTCGGATTTGAACGATCTAGAATTGGGTTAATAACACAATTCAGATCCCCACCAAAACTTAATCGGAGTTTAAGTTGGGTAAAAGTGAAATTATTTTATAAATGAAATGAACATCGTCCCAATTGGGGGCGTAAACACATATTCACACATTAATCAATCGTTAGGTTATAAAAGAATAATGAATAAGACCACGTCGGCAATGCATGACAAGCAAGTAAAGAGAAAGGCAAAAAAAAAAAAAAAACACACAAAAAAAACACATTTGGCGGTTACCCTCCTAACCCTGAAGAAACTGAACTTTTCCTATATTTGCCTCAAGAACAGAGACAAATTGCAGGCTCCAGTACATTACATTATCAAATTCCCAGTAATCCATTGACTGACTTAAAACCATTCCAACCTCTAGGGAGCAACCCAACCTTTAACCTTATGAAACATTCTCAGTGAGTTAAAACGCTTTTGTGAATAAAGTCTTAACTCAGTGGAGTCTATGTCACAGAACCATCAGCTTGTTTGAGTTCAGTTTAGAACAACAAACTATTTGTGAAGCCACAAAAAATAGTAATAATAATAACAAGAAATCAAATAAAGAAAAGAACTGGTCAGAAAGTGTTTATACCTTTTTCAAATGATTAGTCTCAAGACGTATTTTTTTTCCCGTCATCCTTCGCTCAAAAAGGAGACCTTGAGCGTAAAAATAAATAATCCAGGAAATCCTAAACATTGATACTTTGATCATAGAACTAGGGGTCGACCGATTATCGGCACCGATATCAAGCATTTTTATGGTTATTATCGGTATCGGCCATTTTCAAAACCGATTTGCCGATAAAATAATTTTATTTTGAAATGCGCTATATTTGGCTCTAACGCAGCCACGTCTGTCGGAACTCACCACTCTGTAGACTAGACTAATGTCCCCGCCCATCTGATTTGTTGGGAGTCACGAGTCCGGCCAATCAACACGGAAAGCTGAAGGCACTGAAAGTTTTGCACTCTCACACCGAAAGCACTTGCTGACTTGGAGCTGCTTCACTGATCATCATTTGTCTCTCAAAGTTAAGGCAGCAGCAGACTTTGCTGAAGAAGCAATAAATAACTACACTGAAGTTGCAAAATACCTCAATATAATAGAGCCCTGTGATTTCCGCGATGCAGAAAACAGACGAAATCCAGTCATAAAAACGGAATTTACTGTGTAAAGCGGAATATCACGGAATTTGTCAACTTTTTGATGAATTAATAAAAAGCAGGTCAGTACAAATCAAATTGAATTTCTAACCGCAAAAAGACTATTTAAATATGAATCCTGCGTGTCTCTAAATGAATGGCGCAGACGCGTGATTTCATTTACCACACACACACACTGAAGCACGCGTGAGGTTTGCGCTGCTTTCAGCCTCAGCCGCATCATTATATGAGGACATGATTGCATAAACATCATCTCCAGAGTCGCTTAGTCACTTCATGAGCTTTTTAATGCTTCAACTGAGAAAAGTTATCATCATATCATATCATAAACACACAGAAACTCAAAGATCTCCACGGCAACCCGTCAAAATAAAAGTTCAGTTTTTTCATAGGGCCCTAAAAATGTAATTTTTGTTAAACTGTAAATAAATGTAATAAGTTTGATGATTTCAATTAATTAGAAATGCTTTTTGATTACTAAAATTTAATTTAAACATTAAAATAGAGTCTTTAAGTTTTACAAAATGTTTACAGAATGCTAAAAAAGTTTATAAAATGCAAAAGTTATTATAATTATTATTATTAATAACAGTTCTCAGATTCAAAGATAAGTTTAAAATCATTTAAAGAAAGTATTTGTCAAAACCCTTTGTTATTCCCTATTTTGACATTAATTTACATTTTTACACCAGACATATATCGGTTCAAAATATCAGTTATTGGTCTATTCGATCTGTAATAATCGGTATCGGCATCGGCCCTGAAAATCACATATCGGTCGACCCCTACATAGAACTGTTTCGCTGCCTCCGATGTGTTAAATATGAAAGTTTCTTCATTAAGAGTCACTCTCAGACGAGCCGGGCAATTGAAATCGAATGTTCTTCTGGTAGAGTGATTGCTTGATGCCATTGTAAGACGCGCGTTTCCTTGACAGGATAGCGCTGAGATCTGGGTAGATTCTGACTGGATTCCCCTTGTATTTCGCCTCATGCCGCCTTGCCCATCGCAGTAATTGCTCCTTTTCTTGGAACTTGTGAAAGCACACCACAAATGGACGTGGTTTACGGGCGTCAGCTGGCTTTTGACCGGGTGATCGATGCGCTCTCTCAAGCAGGGCCGGACTGGGACACAATTTCAGGCCGGGAAATCCTAAACCCATCCAGGCCATCCTATGCACCAAAATAAAATTTAGAAACACGGACAACCCTGTTTTTTCCACCCCTACATTTATTTCGCAGTATGACCATAACATAAAAACATAAACAACCAACCTAGAAGTAAAGCAGTTCTAATATCAAATGGGTCTGCACATAACGTCCAACGTAAAGTCCAAATCTGTTTCTACCTCTCTACTTCTTAAATATCCAACATTTAACAACCCTAATTTTCTTAAATATGTTCATTTCTTTATTTTTTTTATTTTGCTTCTACCTGTCATCTCACTCCCTAGCTGAATCTGATGTGTGATCTTTGCAACTAGTGCTAGGTTGGCTGTTTCCACCTTCATTTGATGAAAAAAAAAAGGAAATTTGTATTACCTTATTAAATGTATGCATCATCTTTCATGTCAAATTCTTACATTTGATAAAAAAATTCAGTTATAATAATAAGACACTATAGGGCTGTGTTACCCATCAAATTAAATAATGTGCACTGCAATTACAACTGCAATAAATAATGTTATGATATTTATGTTTTAAATAAATGTTTGAATATACAAATAAAAAAAATGCAATACTTAAACATTAAACTAAACCGCCAATAGGTGGCTTAATTAGTGAGTCATTCATACAAAAGATTCGTTCAAAACGCTGAATCATTCAGTAACAAAACACCGCGCTGCTGTAGCTTTCCTTTGGAAATATTTTAGTCGGTGAAATGGAACAAAAACAGTTAATATGGTTTGTGTCTAAAATGTAACTTAATAATAAATATTAACTGCGCTACTTGTTTATTGAACGATAAATTCAATCTAACATTTTCAATCGTGATAATAATAAGCAAAACAGCTCCCTTAGTTGTGTTATGTTAAACTAAATAATATGTTATAAAAAATAAAAAACAACAATTAGAATTTTTACGTTTGTAAAAACTCACAGAAAACTGTGAGTTTTCTGTGTGCTGTTTCAATCATTTGTTTTGATTTCTCCACGAATGTAACGTTAGACGGGCGCTACAGCTTACATTAGCAAGCAGTTCAATAGCCTATTAAGTTAACGAAGAAAAAAGTACAGTTTACAGATGAAACTGACCTGCACTGAAGACCTGAACAGGTCAGTAGTTTTGCAACATTTTGTGCTTCTTCTTGCAGTTCTTTCTTTATCTTTGTCCTTTCCCTCTCTGCTCCACCTGGCCATTTTCTCTCCATCATCGGGTGCTGCTCGCATTTTATGTTTAACCGTTTTGGCTGAGGCGTAATTTAAAGTCGTATCGTAGCCTTGCCAGTCAAGAATAACAGATACATGATTTTATTTATTATTAATATTAATAATAATTTTATTGAATGATGAATTAGAAAATGATCACTGGTAAAGGTAATAGGCCTAATATCAAATAATAATAATACAAAATATATTTAAAAACATTTTTTTTTAAATGCTGGCTGGCAGCAGGCCAAATTAGTCGCCAGGCCACCGGGAATTGTTCCGGTTCTCCCGATGGCCAATCCGGGCCTGCTCTCAAGTGCTGGTGGCTTGTCGAAGACCTCCGTGCCTGTCATCTCTAGCAACATCTCGGCAATGAACGTAACGGGATCTTGACCGTTTTCACTCCCTTCCGGAACGTTCACAATCCTCAGGTTAGCCCTTCGCGATCTATTCTCCAAATCTTCAATGCGGTCAAGGAGAGATGTGTTCTGCGTTTGCAAAGTTTTTATAGTATTTTCGCCCACTGTCAGCTTTTCAAAATTCTCCCCAACCAGGGATTCTGTCGCGGCCAAATGACTTTGAAAGCCATCCACAGTCTCTCTCAGTGCATTTACAGAGCTTTGTAAAGGACCAATAGATTCCCGAATCTAGTCGGAAATGTCTTCCCTGATACTAATGCGCTGTTTAGTTAATTCAGAAATCTACTGGTCCATGGAGACAGATTCAAAAGTTTCTGTCACTTTTGACAAAAGTTTCTGTCAAAAGTTTCTGTCATTTTTCGAGATTGGAGGTAGAGGCAATGGCTGCTAGCTTACCGGCGATGCTAGCAGTAGCTCTCCTGGTCGGTGGGACTGAGGGGTGCGGTTGCTTCTGCTTAGAATGATTCATAATTTACCCAGCGATGTTCTAAACGCTGTCGTAGATTTTTCCCTAAACCTAACTGCATACCTAAGTCTACCTGGGTCGTCTCCTCATCTACGTTCCCTTGGTTGTCTTCAATCGACATTCCCTATCTAGTTGGGTTGTCTCCAATCGACATTCCCTGGGTTGTCTTCATTCAGCATTCCCTATATATAGCCTATTTCTCTAAACTAACTCACCTGCTGCGCAGCAGAAAATAACAGACAGACTTCAGCAAATGTCCTTTAAATGCTTTAATCACGGCCGGGAGAGTTCTCGACATTTCTCAGAGAATCTCCCCCAAGAAGCACAAGGCCGGAACAGTCACTTCCCTTTGCACAAAGCAAACATGAATATTAGACACAGAGAATAACGTCAGAGACGCACATTTAGTTACAAATAACTAAAGATTTCCTCCTTACATTTCTGATATTGTTGTGGCTGGTCTGACTGTACTTCTGGATCGCAGCGCTGAAGCAGAAAAGGCGTAAAGAAATGGGTTCACACAACTGTTTATAAAGAAAAGAGCCCCAGTTATATCGTGGCTAGCATTTGAATCCCATGACACTACCATTAAAACAACGTTGTTGATCGCACAGGGGATGCCGAATATGAAGAAGGCCACTACGATTCTGACGGCCAGTTTTGTCAGCCTGTGGCTGTTGAAGAAAGCTGAATGACTTATCCGTTGATGAAGTCGAAGGTAGAAGCCCAACAGGCTGAAGAGAGGCACAATAAACATCACTAGAATCTCGACAAATAAGACAACTATTTTTTCTTGAGTATTGCTGTAATCCGGATAACACTGTAGAAACCCGTCCTCCGTCTGCTTGATGCTTCGGAAATAAAGAGCGTAAGAACCCAACGCTCCACTTGATGTCCATATCCCAAAAATCAGCCCGTTTTGACCCTTCCTTCCAAGCTTCGCCCATCGCTGAGGATACAGCACCTGCAGGTACCTTTGCACACTCAATAAGGTGACAGAATGCACACTACAGTAGAGGCTCCAGTACACTAGATAGGAAAATAACTTGCATAGAGCTCTGCCAAAAACCCAGCCGTTCAGAAGGGCATAGATCCACACAGGCAGAGAAATCAGACTCAGTAGATCAGAGACAGCCAGACTCAGCATCAGTTTCGGGGTGAAGCTGTCCTCCTTTAAATGTTGGGCGAGCATGACCATCACCGCTAGATTACCTGGTAAACCCAGCGCACAGCACAATCCCAGAACACTGCTGGACATTAGTGTTTCCACTGAGGTACGGGCAAACAGAGAGCCATTCGAAATGTTCTGGTACTCCATGTTTACCTGCCAATTGCTGATGTGAATATACAATTTGAGGTTTGCCAGTCTTCGGTTAGGATGCAGTCTCAATTGTGGTCTTGTGGAGAGACATTAAGATTCTGAATGTAAATAAACAGGCATGCAAATGTTTGGGGAAAAACATTGTGCAGTTTGATTTACATACTTTTTTAAACCGTCAGTCTGGCCATAGACGACATGAATGAGCTGTTTGTTGTGGTGTAACTAGCAACTGTCTTCCTTCAACATCTGTTAATGTTAATAATGGGGGGTGTGATCTGTGATCTGTTTTGTAGATCACACTTTTTTATGATCTACAAAACAGACAGTCACCAAAACAATAACATCATGTATTTAGTCTAATATAACTGATATTGACCAAATTCTATATTAAAACAACACCAAAACACAAAATATTAAGTTTCTGATCAAAGGCGGAGGATGATAGCCTGACTACGTCAGACTTCCTACTTCCGCTAATTTCATTTCGCTCCTGTAGTCAGTCTGAGATAGCAGCCTATCTTTCTGTTTTCCACCGGCCTGAAAACAGCCTGGCCAATCAACGAACAGAGGGCGGGCTGAAAGCCGTGACGTAGTCGGTAAGCGCCGTGTTTAAGATTAGGTCAGGGAAATCGAAAACGACCGCTGATATGGAGACGCGGATGCAATTCGCTCTGTTGTGGAGAATATTCCCGGCATTAGCAAACTGAAGCCCGAACACGAAGAGTGTGTATTAAACATTTTGAATGGAGGTGATGTTGTGGCCCTACTCCCTTTGGGAAAAGTTTAATTTATCAACTATTACCGATCGTCAGCGAGAAACTGGGGAGCCTTTTGACAGGTCAGTGTCTCTTTTCTTTTCCAGGTCTTAAATACCGTAAAACTTTAAATAATAGCCCGGGCTTTTATTTGCCCAAATCGTCGAACTGCACCGGCTTGTACTTGAGATAGGCGTCTAACTTATATGAGACAGGCCTTTATAGTTGAGATGTTGTTCATTGAGATGTTGTTCCTAGAGTCTATAATCTCTAAAAATCTCCAAATGCTCCACGTGAAACCGCGGTCTTCCGACCTCTTACTATCTTGTCGATTGATTTTTATGAATATGCGCGAGGGAGAGAGAGCAAGACAGCGCTCGTGTTGTTTGTAGACGTGGGAGTGCGCGCGCGCGGCCGGGGCTCTCTCTCTCTCTCTGCTCGTTTGTGCCCTGTCAAGCGCAGCAGTCATTCTATTACATCACTCACAGATCAAAAAAGTCGTTTACAGCCATGTTCACTCGGGTATTTCGCTCGCATCATCAAGTGTTTACAGTGGAAGTTCGATCATAGATTTGAGTTCGATGCATGATGTCTGTGGTTCGATGGCTGTGTCGGCGCATAACATAGGTCATAAACAAACTTATCTGATTGGCTTACGGGTAACCAATGATTTTAAACTTCAGTACGCGCCCCCTAGCGAGAGAGAAAACACTTCTCTATTATGCTATCCCAGACTCTGTGTACGAAGCAAAGTGAAGTAGCAGAGTCTGGTATTACCAGGCTAGGAGGATGATCCAACACCATGAGGATATGCGCTTCCCCTTTAAAAACATTTCTACCAGAAAGACTCAGGTGATAAATTGATTTAACAATCGTATATTTATTAACAGCTCGGCAACCATGAATTTATAAAGTTCTTTGGCGTTGGGATGCACGATACCATCTTTTTCAGAATCGATCCCATACCAAAAATTCTGAGTATCTACCGATACCAGCGCAGGTTTTTTTTTAAATCAAGTAGAATTTCTGTAACTCTGTGTGTTGAACTGATAATCACTCTTTCTGTGTGTTAAACACAATACAATACAGACAACTTCATTATAAAGAAAAACAACAAATCGAAAAGAATATATTATCATAATCTATGACAAAAATGCTATTATAAACTAGATTAGCGGATAATTCAGCAGTAAAATTTAGTCTAGAAAAATCATGAGTGCACAATTGTATAAAATCTGAACATTTAGTGAAAAAAACATTTAGTGGGGAACAAATAAGAGACAATAAGTGTAACACTAAATCTGGTAAAACGTTGCACATTGCTCTTTCTATTGTTGTAAAATACTTTCATGAAAAACAAGATAACAAAAATCAAAGAGATTATTTTAGATATAGCCTAGGCTACTATAAAATTGAGACATGTTTTAAATGTATAGCACAGCTGTTTAATGAGGCAGCAACATATGATAGACAGGACAGAACAAGAAACGCTATCATTGCGTCACTGCATTATGATATGAAAGGCTCCAATACAGTGCGGCACACATCGCTTATGCGCATCCCGAGCGCAGAATGATGCGCTTGAAGTACAAAGGAAATACATATTGATGCGTAGTGTATTATACAGTATCTATCTATGCAATAGTTTATTGAGCCTTTTCTTTAAACAGTTTTAAATTTCAGTTACTGTGCTCGTGAAGAACAATTATAGTGCTCTGACTCTACTCTAGTGTTGTGATCTAACAGACACCCGGTAGAAAGTAACATGATTAAGTTACAGCAATAAAGTCCAGCAAGATAAAGTTGTTTTTTTTCAAAATGTGATAGACCACAAACATGAGGAGAAAAAATCCTAGATTGAACCGTTTTGCTCCTATAGTGTGTGGTGTGCCATGATGTGACAAAGACAGCACACCACACACTAACAGATTTTCAACCAGAGTCTAGACTGTGAACACACGAAATCTCGCAAAATCTCGCGAGACTTCACAATAATGTCCACATTAATTGTAGGGTGCTTCTCATTTCTTATTTGTGCATCCTCGTTTTCTTTCCTCGCTTCCTTTCCTTGCGTCTCAGCTCCACCCCCTGCAGGACGCGAGGGAAGGCTGCAAGGAAAGAAAAGGAGGACGGAGGAATCGAAGGAAAGTTTTTTTAATACTTTGGAATACTCGATCACTCGTGCGTCACTTCACTGCGTCATCAGCAGCGCTCAAAGGATCTGCCCTTATGTTGTTGAAGTTTGGCTATTTAAGAAATTTGTAATGAATAATAATAAAGCAAGATACCCTGTTGAAATATGTGAGATGTGTGCTTTATATAAACTGCAATGGTAAAGTATAAATTAAAATGATTGTGACCGACGTGAAGGGGGAGGAGAATTGATACGTGCGTCACGTTTAGTCGATAAAACACTTCCGCAAAGCATACAACTGTGCATCCTCGCTCATAGCTCCTCTGGAAGCTCCTCACTCCTCGATCCTCGCCTCCTCGCGGTGCAATTAGAGAATTGAGATGTCCTTCAAGATGGCTGAGCTCGATCGGTTTCCGGGTCATAGGATGGAGGACGGAGGAGCGAGGAGACGAGGGATATTGAGAAGCACCCTCAGTCTGTGCTGCGCCATGACTGCGTTTGTTATGCTTCCGTCTTCCATCATCTCGCTTTCTGATTGGATATTGTTTCGTTTCACGTGATAATCTCCAGAGCGTGCGAACGTTTGTCATCGGGGTTCCCTCCACACATCAGGATTTCTGATCGTAAATATTCAACATGTTGAATATTTACGATTCGCGATCGGAGCGGCTCCGATGTTCTTCCGAGCAGGTTCGGACACTCTTAACACACCTCACATTAAGGGAGAATCTGATAAGATAATCTGTAGAACCATCAAGATAATCGGGACATACCTAGGATTGTCGGAAGGGGGAAAATCGGCCCAAAATCAGCCCGATTATCTTTAGGTGTGTACCCAGCATAAGTTATGTGTTACTATATTGCGTTTAATATTCCACTAATAAGACACATTTACTTCATAGCCTTAATTTTGGTAGATTCTTTTTACTACCGTGCGGACACCCTGTAATTGAAAACCATATAGACCCAGTTAGATGGGGCTTTGAAAATTTACTACCTCGTCAGATGACGTTTACTACTTTTTACTACTTTTTACTGGCCTTAATTTGGCATAATTTAATTTACTACCTTTTACAACCCCGCGGAAACCCTGCCCTGGAGGTAAAGGAAGGGACCATCCTGGTGGTTGTTGGGGAGGAGATTGGTAGCGTCAGAATCTGCGAACTCAGACAAATGGAAGTACCAATCTTTTATACTATGAGTGTTAGCACATGATTGGTTAGAAGTGAGGTAATACGTGGTGCACTGATTGAGTCTTCCTGGCAGAACTTACGCTAAAGCTTTCATTTACTAGGCTTTATGCAGGATTTGGCATGGCAGAAAGCTCGCAAAGAGCGCTCATTTTATTATCATTAAAAAGCGGTTATACAACTTCATTGCGATCTGACAAAAGCTAAATTGTCACTGTGTGCACTGAGTGCTCTCTCCTCCCCATTATTAGTAGACACGCCCCTTACTGCTGATTGGTTACAAGTGTGTTTTGGGACTCTGTCCGAAACAGTTTTCAAAAGTGTTTTTCAAAAACTACTGATCACACCTTTAAGCCCTCACTGTCAGCCTGTTCCTTTTCCTGTATTGTTTGTTTTCATTGAAGTGGTTGTTATATCCTCACTCCAGCCCAGGACACTGAGAGGTTTTTTAACACCTCCCACTTATCTCAGGGTCGTCGCCCTTGCAGAAGTGGGCTGTGTCTTCACTTGTGAGGCAGTTAACTTCTAGTCATGTCTCAGTACGGAAAGCATCATGTGATCTTTTTGAATTTCCAACTCGAGAGATGCGCATTAGCGATGCTAGTTTTAAATACATACTCATTTTCCATGATGGACCTTCAATAGAGTCTTTAGACCGTATCTGTCATCATGTTAAAAATAGTAATAGCAAGGTGAGCTCTTTGAAATGTATCAACGGTGAATCCAATTTTGTGTTGTAGTTCTTTTGAAATGGTTGCTTTTAGGTCTAAACCTCCAGCTTTGACTCATCCCCTGAGAGGATCATAACAGCAATATTAGCTCAGGTTTAGGCACCATAGGAGGACTTTAAAGCTGGTGTCGTGTGAATTTTCACAGTTTTGAAATTGTTTTTAGAGAACTGTTTGGCTTGGTTTCAGAGCTCAGTTGGAGCTCCAGTTCCCTTTAAAAGGGGAGGGTGGGGAAAGATCCATAAGGAAAACTCAATTTAGCTTCTCATTTTCACTTTTATTCGCCGCCTTTGCCACCTGTACGTCAGAAGGGGGCCCAGTGTTGGGTAAACACGTCAGACCCAAACGTGTCTGCTGTGATCCCTCCATGGGGCACTTATACTCGTCACCTTGTCCTTTGTCCTTGTTTTCCTTCAATCGGTCTGGTGAGATGGGTCACACAGCAGGGGTTGGTAATTACGCATCTTCAGTGTGTCCAACAGCATGAAAAAACAAAACGAGCTCTTAGGCCCTTCCAAATTATAAGCTACAACTTTTTTTTTACCTCATTATGTATTATTATTATGTAAATTATGAAGTACAAAGAACCACAAGAGTGAGACATTTACATCCACATTTGAATAAACCACACTTCCAAGGCTCGATATATTCAAATAGGAGCTTTACAAACAAGAAGTACAGTACAAGATATACATCCTTTCTGGGTGTCACGAAACTGCTCCGAGACACGAAGGTGGAGAATCCAAATGCAGTTTTATTAAGGGGTAATCCAAAACAGGCAAGGTCAAACACAGGCAGGTAGTCCATACAAACAAACACACAAAGCAGGCAGGGGTCAGAGGCAAAAGAGTAATCCAAAACAGGCAAGAAATCCAAAAAGACCAAGAAAACGGGGAGAATGCTCAGAATTGCAGTGTGACACTAAAACAAGACTTCGCGGTGAGTGAATGAATGAACTTGGTATAAATAGACAGACTAACAGGATGATGAGACACAGGTGAATGCAATCAGAGAATGAGGTACAGGTGAATGTGATCAGTGATAAGTGATGGTGAGTCCGGGCAGTGAGTTATGGGAAATGTAGTTTGTGAGTGATAATAGTCTTATCTGGAGTGCCCTCTGGTAGCTCTCAAGGGCACTCCGTTACTCTGGGGGGATGAACTGAATTTACAACAGAAGTTTGTTTGCTTTTGGCAGGTGGTTTATTTGGGTCTATATTTACAAGAAGGCATAGAACATCAGACTGAACTCTGAACATTGAAAACACAACTTTTATTCAGTTTCTAAAACAGTTACCCCCACAATCTAAATGAAGTTGCTCCTGATGTAAATTAAGCATAACAAAACTTGTGGTCTCGATGGTAAAACAAGAAGTCATGTACCTGATTGATCTCGACATCCCGCTGTCAAAATGGTGCTGGGATAAAGATGTTTAGACACTGAAAATATGCCCTGAAATATAGGAATTTACTTTAAAATCATAACTCTTTACCCACCATTGACGTTTTTAATTTTTTTTTTTTTTTGCCATTTATGATACAACACTTTCCGGAAGTTGACGGAAATGTCCGGCAATCCAAATTTTCACTGTTAAATAAGTTTTTATTTTAACAAGCTATTATGCATCTTCTGAGTGAGTGCAGAATCTCCGGATCAAAAGATCTCCAGTTAACTAGCAGAGCATTCATTTAGTTCGCTCTTAAATAATAGATCTAGCGCTAAAATGTGTTCTTTTTGAACTCCAGCTGAGCGCTCGTGTCCGCTGCTATCAGTGTCATTGATACAGTGTTCTCTTGTGGCTCGCGCAGTCTTCACTCGGATGAACCTTTCTCAAAAGGTTCGACTATCAGTCGACTACGGCAAAATCTAACGAATCAGATTCGACTATGAAAATCCTTAGTCGAAAACAGCCCTAGTGAAAAGCAAAAGAAAAATGCAGAAGGCATTTTTTAAATATGTTTTATTAATAAAGGCATATAACCAGTTTATTTGTAGTCCACTGACAATTAGTTTTATACAATTAGTTTATTAATTAAATTAATAAAAAGACCTTGAGATATGTTTGGTAATTGTACCTGAATGAATTTAAAATTAATTTTCTATTTTTCAGATCAATATATTTGTTTTCCTTAATTTTAATTAACCCTAACTTTATTCTCATCTGAATTCTAAATAATTGATTTCTGTATAAAATAATACTACCATTAAAAACACATTTGATTTTCTTTATTAATCAATGTAGAATGTGTAACTTAAAAAATAAACAGATTAGTGCTGGACTCGAGGATAAGAAATGAAAACCAATGCGATATGATGAATGTCCAAAAGATGGCACCCACAGACTGTTTTGTTGGATAAATATGTTTTGCTTTTAAAACTGTGTGTGTGTGTGTTTGTGTGTGTTTTTGGGTGACAGTTGTAGGTTACAGTTTGACAAGAGTTTAGAGTGTGACAGAAGCACAATGTTGTGTTTTATTGCGAGTTTTATTGCGAGTGTACACAAAGTAAACACTTAGCAGTTTGAATTATGTCCTGTATGAACAAAATGACGGAGTATGTTTTTATGTTTCCACTGTTCGATCGCGCCTCTCTCTCTCTCTCTCTCTCTCTCTCTCTCTCTCTCTCTCTCTCTCTCTCTCTCTCTCTCTCTCTCTCTCTCACACACACACAGTTCGATCGCGCCCGCGCCTCTCTCTCTCGTGCGCGCGTGCACACACACACACACACACTCCAGCATTGCAATCTTGACATCGCAGCCTGTTAATTATGCTGCGTTCACACCAAACGCGAATAGAGCAATATTTATCGCTATTTAGAGTTTTATTTATTTATTTTTATACCGTGTATTCTCCGTGCAAATTTGTGCACCGAACTGTGACAGTGCACGAATTTGTGATTAAAAACACATTCGATTTTCTTTTTTAATCAATGTAGAATGTGTAAGATTAAAGCTCCGAGGACAAGAAATGAAAACCAATGCAATATGATGAATGTCCAAAAGATGGGACCCACAGACTGTTTTGAAATGGAATTGGATAAATATGTTTTGCTTTTAAAACAGTGTGTGTGTGTGATTTTGGTTGGGTGACAGTTGTAGGTTACAGTTTGACAAGAGTTTACAGTGTGACAAAAGCACAATGTTGTGTTTTATTGTGAGTGTACACAAAAGTAAACACTTTGCAGGTTTAATGATCTGTATGAACAAAATGACCGAGTATGTTTTTTATGTTTCCACTGTTCGATCGCGCCTGCGCCTCTCTCTCTCTCTCTCTCTCTCTCTCTCTCGCGCACACACTCACACACACACACACACTCCAGCATTGCAATCTTGACATCGCAGCCTGTTCATTATGCGGTCACACCAAACGCGAATAGAGCGCCAAATTCGCGTCTAGTTCGACGCTAGTCCAAAGCGAATAGGATGCGAGTATAAAGCCAACGTTTGAAGTGAACGCGCGTTCAGAGCTAAGCCGATGGTACAGATTATGTGTCCCTAAAGAACCCGCGTATCTAACAGTAGTTCCGCATTACATTAATTAATTTGCACGCGAGTTTTATTTATTTTTATACCGTGTATTCTCCATGTAAATTCGTGCACCGAACCGTGGCGCCCGTACCGTTTCGGTTCAATACGAATACATGTACCGTTCCACCCCTAATATATATATATATATATATATATATACAGTATATATCAAATTGTAATACTGGTAGAACTGAAAGATCTGCCTGGGCTATTTTCTGAGAAAACAATGGACCTTTCTGGAAATTAATATTTGAACTCTCTCTTGCAAAATTAGCATCCCCATCCGAAATGCAATCACACACCTCAGTATTGTCTTATTTTACATTTCTTTCCCTTCACCCCCTCTTTCCCCCATCTCTTCTCTCACATGCTGAGATCCCCGGAAATTCACCCAAAAATCTATGGTTTAATGTGAACAACTATCATACAACAATATACATGTTTGATATCATTGTATTGTCATTATCTTTGATATCATAGTAACACCCCTGATATATATATATATATATATATATAATTTCTTCATATATACTCTGTATATAAAGCTGTTTTTTCTAACTAATAGCCTATCATGTTAACACGCAATATTGTTTATGTCTTGTGGCAATGCTATTGAAACAGTATTTTAACATTAATGGATTGGGGTGCAGTAGGTTATAACAACAGCACTCTTTGATTCATTGATTCACACAGTTCAGGGTTAAATGATAGATTTCAGAGCATTGAGCAACTATATTTTGTAACAGATACATGTGGGGAAATTATATTAAAAGTATGTTGAACTGTTGAGAGAACATAAGCTCTGTCCACAATCCTTTAATGGTAAAATAGTAAACAGAAAGAAATGCAAATTGCCTGTATACAATTAGTGGCATTCAGTGAACACTTAACTAAGGATGATGATCTAGGCTAGTTAAAATAATGATTCTCTGGTTTACTCAGACCTCTCCCTTATAATTGTAACTTAAGAAGACTGAACCAGAGGGAAGCACTAGTGCTGAACGGGCGTGGAAAATGGTTGATGTTGAAAGCTTTGCTGTTTCTGACTGCAGAGGAGGACATTTGTCTTCATCCAGCACTGGGACACTGAAGACAATAAAACCTATATATAATACTCAAAAGGAAAGCCAAATGACTAAACTTTTAATTTGTGCATTTTTAAGGAAGAAGTAAACTACAATTGCTGTTGCATAAAGAAAATCTTAACTGGTCCTAAACAGGTAAGATCTTAAGATATGGCTTAGCATTCTTATTTAATCTTTTTTTCTTCTTCAATTTTTAATATGTATATGAACTGATATATGTCAATTAACTTCAGTTGTAACCAGTGTTGGGGGTAGTAATGCGAGTTACCTAATCAGATTACTTGTTTAAAGTAACGATTAAAGTAACTTTACTTTTAAATTTACAACAAAATATTGGATTTTCAAGTAAGTAATTCAAGTTAATTTGATTTCCCATTCTTTGGCTGACACCTCTCTTGCCCCATGTGAGAAATTGGGAGTAAGGCAGAGGCGTTGTGTGCGCAGGGTCGTCTTTTGATGTGAAAAGAGAAATACTCATTTTGCTTTTAGTGTGAATGGGACTTTTACATTTGCAAAAAATATAACTTCTCTTGTTATTAAAAAACAAACATAAAAAACAAGCGAGCCCAGCCCAGGTGAGAAACAGTAATGCAAAAGTAATGTATCCTATTAATTTTCATTAAAAGTTACTAAGTAATGCAATTAGTAAAAGTAAGTTGTTGTTTTTTTACTTTTAAAAGTAACTTTCCCCAACACTGGTTGTAACCATCATTGAAAAAAACTTTTAAAATGATATTAGATCAGTTGACTACATTTGAAATTCAAACCTAAAATAAGATGTACTTGCCACTAGTGTGTAAGCACTGCAATTATTGCTGTTTATAAAAGCTTACATAACAGTATTTTTTTGTACTTTTGTTGTTTTATGTATTACAAAGTCCAACACTAAAACAGTATGTATGTACATGTTCATGTCTCAGTTATGAAGGAAATAATTTCCCCAGTTTCCCCCCTCAGCCCATGTTTATGAACTCTAAGGCTGAGCTCCAGACAGATGCCATGACACTATCATTTCTGTATGCTTTATATGTCTCACTCCACCCTTGGACCTTCACTTTTTTCCCATCAGGCAAAATCTGAGAGAGTCCTGAGAAAGAGTGGGCTACTCCCCTCTGTTCTGCAGATGTGTCTGGGGTTAGAGCACATCTGTTAGCTCTACAGCACCGTCAAAGTGAGTCCATCTACACTTATTGTTAAATGTGATCACTAGGAGCATGCAGTGTAAGTTGTTAAATGCACTTGACAGTGTATATGCCATAGTCAATTAATAATTAGTTAAACAATGCATTAAGTATGCACAGATGAATTTGGGGTAGCAGCATGAAACCACCATAAAACTATGACGTCATTCTTATACTATTATACAATGTCAGAAAAAAAAAGCAAACTAATCAAAACAGGAGTAATACTTTCTAGTCCCTGTTAAAAGTCTGGCCGCAGCTTTTTGGACCAGCTGGAGGTGAGATGAACAAGATTGAGCAATCCCTAAATATGAATTGCAGTAGTACTGTCTTGTTGAAATAAATGCATGATTAACAGTTTCCAGATCAGATTTTTCCAAAATCATTTTGGGCAATGGAAAGGTTAAATGGATGTTAAAGGTTCTTCATAAAACCGTAGATGCCAATAAAGAAAATTTATTTGTAAGAGTGTAAGATAATATTGTGAGCCTTCTGGGGTAAATAAGGTACAAAGATGTCAACATAGAGCACCCTCAAAGGGACACGCTGTTGGACCTCTAAAGGTATCATTTTTTGAGAGTGAATTGTACTTGGGTTTTAGGACTTTGACATTTAAATGTCTTGTGTTGGTCAACCACTTTCTTCATTGTGGCAATGAAGAAAATCTGTGCCGCGAGTCACATAATTGATTGTTTACTTTCACTGTCACGTTACGCAAAATGGGAGGAGTATGGCAAACAAATTAACGTTAATCACGGAAGGAAATTGAATATAAGGAAGTGTGTCGTACCTGGGAAAGGCGTCACCCGTTTGTGCATTGAGAAGTTTAGTGAAATCGTGACGGATCGTTGGGGAGAGACGGCCGCTTGTCGATCTGTTGTTTCCTGTGGTTGAAGTCTGGTGCGTCGCGAAAGTCGGTGCATTCCCAGACAAACAATGATGGAGCTGTTTTAAAGACAAGCCAAAGCTGCTGTATCCGCCTATCCTAGTGTCGAAGAGGACACTCGATACTCACTACACCTGTTTCTTGCCTGCAAATGTGGTCAGTACCGCTGCGACGCCATACACACATTACGCACACACCCACTCGCATTTCACTTTTGCACATTCAGTGTGCTTAGTTGTTTTTCATAATTTGGTGTTGCCTGTTAAAATGATTGTTTGCTGTTGGTGATTTACAACAAAATGAATGAGTTGTTTACTTTTTTTCTTTTTTCCTTTCATATGAACAATTGTGAATGAATGTGGACACGAATCTGCCAACGTGGATTAGTGACGCGTTGTGACGCGATGGGACGCGTGGATGTTGCGTTGATGTTGCGTTGAAGTGAAGACGTGGGAAGTTTTGCACGGATTTAAAGAAACGTCAGAGATGAGATATACCGTGGAACTTTTTGTGTGTTATTAGTATTATTATGAATAAATATCCTTTGTGAAATGATTTTTCTTTTTTGATTATTACTATAATTTTTTGTGTGTGTAACAGGTGGTTATTTTTTGGCTATCCTGGGTTCATTTAAATTTTGACAGGTTTTATCCTGTCTGGCGCCAGAACTCTTCTTTAAAGTCATTTATTTGTATTAGGGCGGCCACCACCGTTACAGAGTGGCGCCCGAACAGGGACATGAACATGAACACTTGAACATTTGAATTTGAGCACTGTGGAACCTAGTGAAATTGAACTTTGGACATTTTCATTTTGAACATTTTGGAACTGTTTGTGAACTGTGAACAATTTACTTGGAGAAAAAAAAAAAAAAAAAAAAAAACACTCTGAGACCCTGTGACTGTAAACTTTATATGTGATGGAAAATATTTTTTGGGTTGTGTAAACTGTGAACGCTAATTAGAGTGCTATCTCTTAGGTGTCACAGAAATTGAGATAAGTGAAGGTGACTTACTTTGAATGCTTTTTGTTTCTGACTTAATGTTTTTTTTTTTTTTGAAAATATTGATTGAACATTTGTGAAAAGTTGTATTTTGTTGTTTTGGAAAAATTTGGGGGAACAAACAAACTGACACACATCTCATTTACTGATACATTTATTTATTTTCACACCCAACATTCTTACACTCCAACACTCATGGCAAATACCCCTCCTTCCCAATCTACTTTTGTGGAAATGGAGCCTCCACCAGACATCTCAACTCCAGTATGGCCGCCCGTACTGCGACCTTGGATGCCTCTGGTGCCACCTTCAAGTGCTCCTGCCTTTTACCATACCCCTATTCCATTCAGCCCTGGTCATCCTGGAACCCATGTGCACACGTCTTTTCCTGCTCTGGCTGGCAGCACTCCAGTGCAAACCCTCACCTGGGCACCACAAGTGGATAACATGCAACTTTGTACTTCATCTGAAGGTGGAACTCCTTCTTCAGTGGCACAACATGATCTACCCAGAATTTTACCGACTCCTGGAAGGGAAATACAACAAGTCACTGCTCGGGTTCAAGGGAACTGGGATACCTTGTTTGATTTAATGACAAGACAAGAAAAAAGAGTGAATGAACTTACCAAGGAAGTGAAAGAAACTTCTTCTTATCACAAGAGTCAGATTGCTGATCTTGCTGCAAAAGTGGAGGATAACAAAAGTCAAGTTTTCACTCTGTTTACTACCACTAAGCAACAAGAGGAGTCTGAAGCAGACAAACTGATTAAAACAATGAAGCTAATGATCACTGGAGAACTCCAAAAGGTGGAAACTACCTTGGTGTCTGAACTACGCTTCATGGTTGATCAGCTCCAGTCAGAGGTTCAGCAGGACATCAAAGCTGTTCAAAACGTATTTCAAACAAGCCAGGATAAGATGAATTCACAACTCCAACAATGTGTTACACAGACTGATCAATGTCTCACCAGTTTTAAAGAATTGAAAATTGAAGTGGAAAAAGGATTTCAAAGTGTCAAAGAAAGTGCGGATCAACGAAAGTTAAGTGTATTGACACCATCAGATCCTTGCACCACCACTTCATCTCTGCCATCTGTTTCTGCTCCAGTGACATCATCTTCTTCAACCCCTCTTTCAACATCTGTGGTTAAGAGTGACCATATAAGATTAACTTTCCCCACTTTTGGAAGGCCTTCAGACGATGCAGACCCCCTACTGTACTTAACCAAATGTCAGGATTTCATGGCTTTACATCCCCTGACAGATGCAGACATCTTGGCTACCTTCCGTACTGTCCTATACGGAACAGCACGTGACTGGTGGGAAGTCAGACGGTCCAACATAACCACCTGGAATGAGTTTGAGGCTGCATTCTTATCTGCTTTCCTTTCTGAGGATTATGAGGACGAACTGGCAGAACGTATCCGTACTAGAATTCAGAAAGAGACAGAAACTATTAGAGACTTTGCGTTTTCTTACAGAGCTCTCTGTAAAAGATGGAAGGCCGATCTTACAGAAGGTGAGATTGTGAAGATGATACTAAAGAATATAAAGCCATACCTTGCAAGCCAATTACGTAGCCGAGTGAACACTGTGGAGGAGATGGTAAAACTAGGACATCAACTGGAGAAAGATTATGAACAACAGCTTCGTTATGACTGTGGTCGAATGGGCCCAAAGCATCTACCCACATCACCACGATCTTCCTCAAACCAACCTGCTGAGAAAATCCCAGTTCAATGTTGGAGATGTAGAGGACAGCATCCACCAGGAAAATGTCCACACTATACCTCTCCACAGTCACCCCAGACATCTGGTCCACAGTATTCCACCAGCGGCAAACATCCTTATCACCCGAAGTCAAGTGGTCACCCTTCCAACAACTCTGTTGCTGCAACTAGGATGCATAAGTCACCATCCGCAAGTAAGAAAACCTCATCCTCAACTGCAAGCTCTACTGAACATGTAGCGATACCTCAACAATTAGTTGTTCCCCTTTGTATTGATGCCTGGTCAGGTAAGGCCATTTTGGACACTGGTGCAAGCTTCACACTCATCCATGAGAATCTCATGAGGCAGCTTACCTCACCAGACCAGCTCCAACCATGGTCTCGTGGTCCTCTTTATCTGGCAAATGGAAAAGCAGAGACACCATTAGGATGGCTGTACACCACAATTCATTTACATGACCAAGCATTTACCTTACCTACTGCTGTACTTTCCTCCCAAGCTCTAGCCTATGCTGTAGTCTTGGGGTTGGACTTTATTTTCTTCAGTGGCCTGCAACTCAATGTCATTGATCAGAAATACTCCTTCAAGCTTGATCCTTCAAAAGAGTACCCCTTTCAACCAGGAAATCCAAGTGTGCCAAATCTAAGTCCCCAAAACGAGAGGAGTCAACTTAGAACAGCCACACAAAACCTTTCCTTGTTAACTTCTGTTCCCCCTCTATCATCGCCATTGCAAATTCAACCACTTGACAGTATTGATGAAAATGCATTGATAAAAAAAACTGTGGACGCTGCTCATTTACCCTTGGAAGGTAAGCTACAGTTACTCCAAATCCTGGAAGGCCGCCCTCAGGTATGCACACTCCGTACTGGACGTACTGAGGTTCTCCAACACCGCATCTATGCCACCAGCCAAGTACCGATCAAACAACGACCATACCGTTTGTCTCCCATCAAGCAACGTGCACTGGATGAGCAACTTGACGAAATGTTGAGACAAGGAATAGTTGAACCCTCCCACTCTGGTTGGGCATCACCAGTGGTCTTAGTACCTAAAAAAGACGGCAAACTGAGATTCTGTGTGGATTACAGAAAAGTCAATTCTGTAACTGAAAGTGACGCTTACCCTCTTCCCAATATCACAGAAATTCTGGAATCCCTCTCTGGGGCAGCCATCTTTTCTACTATTGATCTCAACAGTGGATATTGGCAGGTGACCATGGACCCCAATAGCAAAACCCAGACAGCCTTCATCACTCCTTCAGGTCTCTATCAACTTAATGTTATGCCGTTTGGGCTCAAAAATGCTCCCGCAACTTTTCAGAGGCTCATGGAGACAGTCCTGGGAGAACTAAGGAGGAAAATATGCTT